GGTTTTGGACACCAGCGATAGCAATGGCACCCGTGGCGGAGTGCGCTTTGTACAAGGGAATCGGCAGGTTTGGTTTGGGGGGCAGGATTCTATGGTTGGGGATGGACATGGTGAAAAGTCTACATCCAAAAAGGGACTATGTAGAATGCCATGACTTTCTGGGGAACAGCTATATAGCCGCTACTTCTGAGTAAGCCTTGATATCACCAGTGTAGGTATTGATCTCAGAATCATGGATTCGGGAGGTACAGAGATTTTTGTTGAAGAGGCATCCCTTGAAAGTTATAGCTTGACAGCTGAGTATTCAGATGAACTAGCGGGTGGGTTTACGTACCACAGTAGCATTAACACCGCCTCGTAGAAACACTACAGATAGGAAGACCATTTCCAAAAAGAAACACCGAGTATATAAGTCTAATGAATTTGTAGCTGCCAGTCGCTCTGGGAAGTCTCCATGATGTCCAGTTTCAGTGCGGCAAGCCCTGAACTGCACACGCCGAGAACTGCATCGCCACGGGTGCCGATTCGACGACGGGCTGACTGTAGGATGCCTTTTGCACGGCCAGAGGCACTGCCCTTCAGTCGCCGCTTTCCTCCTTTTGCCCCGGTCCAATGAATGCCATGGAAGAAGACTTCTACGGGTGAGACTGCAATGGCCCCAACAAACATCCCGGATTTCAGATATCATCCCTTGTTGACGAACCTGAGGTTTTGATGGGTGTACTGCGGTTTACTGTTTAATGCTGATTCATACGCTTGTTTAGTGTTGCTCAGCGGTGTTCTATCGGCTTCGCCGGGGAAACCGGGGGAGGCACACCTGGACCCTTTGAACGAAGGTCCAGACCTTTTCCTCTCGCCATCTGTGCTCGGCAGAGCGGCGGTATTGAGACCTTGGAAGCCCCACGGAGCGGCGGTGGGTGTTTGTAAGCACTGGAGGGTGGAACAAAAAATAGAAGTCGCACCAGTTCGTTTCTTGGCTGGGGTCTATCCAAATTCTTTCATCCAGAATAAGCAATGCAAGTCTGGGTCAGCTGGGGTTCTCCTGTTGGCGGGGCTTCTTTTAAAGATCGGTCTCCCTTCTTCAGTGAGGCTGCCAGACACGACCAGGTCAGAAAGAGAGAGAGAGAAGGAGAGAGACTTTTCATGAATTTCATTGATGATTGTTTGTAGAAGTCCTAATAATGGGTCCTAAGGCTCTTTGCTCCCCAAACTCTGCCAGTTGCTCGGATCTAGTGATATGATTTATTTAGCAATTAGATGAACATTCAGGTAGACGTATCCCTGAAAGACACTATGGAATAAAGAAATGCCCTCAAAAAAGACATGAGCGGGTCGGGAAGTAAAGGTGACATCGGGTCACCAGCCCAGGGCACTTTTGGTCCGTTTTCCTCGGACAGGTGATTGAGATTATCATGGCTTCAGGTGACTGGTGGTTGGGGGTGTTTTGATGGGCAGGTTGTTGCTTGGGCATGTTCATGGGAAGGATTGCAAGGTAAACATGGGACAAATTGTTCGACCAGAACCTTTGCATGAAGCCAAGCCTTGGAAAGCATTTGTCTTTGTTTGGATGAGCAGATCCATTACATTCAAGATAACACTGGTTGTTGAAACAGGGTGGAAGGTGGGTGCACTCGTCCTGTGTTGGTCCTGTGTCGGAGCCAAGCATGTGGTGATTCTTCACAGGGTGAGTCATCCTGTTTGAAGGTCAGATACTGTTAAATCGAACTTCCTGTACTTTGCAGCAATTCTGGAACTCCCTTTATGTTGTACCCAAGTTTGGAGTGCGTGATTGTCCTGCTTGTTTGGCAGACGAAACCTCTTGCGGTTTCACCAAGAACAAGTTATCACAGATTGAGCGCGAGCAACAAAAGAGTGGCCGTTGGATTAGCCTCTTCTAATCCGGGTGTCATCGGCTCATAATAAACCTAGCTATTGTTTGTAGATGGTTCTCTCCTCTGCCAATTTCCAATGCCTGTTGCAGGGCTAAGATTGTCAGATTTACGGGGCAAACACAGCGGGCCTAGCGACCCCACACACCTTGGAAGAGTGCCTGCACACTTGTTTATGTAAGTGAGGTCAGGTTGTCTCAAATCAAGAGGTGTCCAAAGTTTAGACCATTCAAGCCTCAAAACTTACCACATCTTTCAACACACTTGCCAGACAGTCCAGAAAGTGGAGTCTGCCAACCATGTCAACTTTTGATTGCGAGAATCACCTGATCTGACCTATTCTTGGTTCCTATAGGTGTTCAACATTGGCTGATTGGGGTTCGCGAAATTGAGATACAACGCCGAGGCTTGATAAAGAACTCACCGCATCTCAGGAACAATCATGAAGTATATCAACCAGTCTCACTGTAGGAGAACATCCAGTCTTTGAACATTTCACCACATGCGCCAAGCATGTATTGCCCATAGTTTCCACTTGGTTCATGGGACAAACATGACTGAGAGCACGAATGACTAAGTTCCCCTTATCTACAAATGCCACGGAGGCACTGGCACCTTGAAGTGCATCGATTGCTGACCAGGTACGTGATCCCTTGTTCAATTTCATTTTGGCCGGAATATTGGGACCATTGCTTGGTGTTTTGGTCTCGGGTCTTTGAACACCACTTGCTGTGACGCATTCACTAGACTGACAACTTGGTGAAGCTAGATTGCACGCCCACATCAAAACGCCCACCGCAGCTGTTTTTTGGCTTGCCGTTTGCTTCGCCCACTTTGCGTTCCGCACGAACGGCATCGCTCGAAAGCCAACGGCATGGCGCAGCCAGAGGCGGTCATTATGCAACTGGCCTGGTTGACTCGGATCTTCACCACCGCGCCGCGCGCGCCTCGTGACCACCGAGCTTTGGTGGACCAAAGGCAGATGAAGAATGAAGCTCGGAATGTGTGAAGGCCTAGCTATATATAATATAGTTCTTTCAAAACTGTCTGAAGTGGGGTTCTTGTTCTTCTTATTACTTTGATAAAGCGCTGATTTTCAACACAATCCAGGGTTTGGGCTTGCCTGAGACACGGATGCGAACACCTGCAATAGATTTGCCAAGAACGAAGTCTCTTTGCATATTTTACATGCATTACGCATTGATGGACGGTTTCAGCCTGATACGGGTCCAGGTGTGTCGTGCGACGATGCCAAGCGTCTCAGGACGGTGGCCATTACAGCGAAGCCATGAGGCAACGCGTCTCCAAAACGCCTGAGGCAGGATTGACTCGGGGGGGGGGGTAGAGGACGCTACTAGGAGCAAAGGGCATCGCTACTAGGAACAAGGTTCGCTACGAACGGGGCTCCTGGCATCGCTACTAGGAGCGATCGGACGCTACTAGGGGGGCTCCTGTCCTTACTACTAGGAACAGGATGTGCGATGTGAAGAAACGGCGATGTGGGGCGGCGGCGGCGTTTGAAGATCTTTGGAAGCATCCAGTGGTACCAGTGGTAACTTGGACAAAAGGACGATCGAACAAATTCCTTAACGACCGCAGGTGCCATACCGGCCTATTCGAAAGGCGGGGAAGTTCTTGAAGTTGAGTTTGACAGAGAAGGAAACAAGGTGGATAACGTTGTACGATGTACGTGACCTTTGATGAAAAAGGCCTTTTTGGGTGATTCCTTCGTCTCTCCGATTGTCCATATCGTCGAAGCTTTGGAGAACAAGTTGTCACATGGGATTTCCAAAAGAACGAACTTTGGTTTTCTCGTGTCAGGCTGGGGTGTGTCCGACCACAGTTTGTCAAATTCCTTCACCTCAACACAACACAACAATGCTCGCCCAATGCCATGCCTGGAGGACGAGTCGACATCGGGTGAAGACAACCACTCAGCTCTGAATTAAAGTGAGCACCTTGAGAATCGCTTGAGGAAGCATGTCGATCCCTCCCCAACATGCTGAAACTGAAGGAATTCCTAATTCAAAACAAGTCTTTTCAGAAGCCTTCAACCTTTTCAATGAAAACCATGGAGACAGGGGTTGACACATGGGCATGGTACTGAGTCCTATGAAAGCACTTGCAGGTCCAAATCATGGTCATGACACGGCTCAACTTCCAAAGTTCTTGGTGCGCTTTCTTCGTGGGCACACTGCATGTCATCACATGTGCTTCCTCTAAGTGAGGGAGCAGAGTTCCCTGACCAGTTCTCAAGTGATTATTTCTTGAAGCTGGTGGGGCACGGTGGTATACGTATAGAGGATGGGCTTCTCGTCCCACCTGCAATGTCTTCAAGCTTTGAACTTAAATCTCTCAAGGAGGGTACACCTGTGTCCCACTTGAGAAAGGCAAAAGCAACAGTGGGTAGGGTCAGAGACGACCCCGAACACTCCATGTATGGAATACATGCCTACATCGATCCCTTTTCAACCACCCCAACTGTACATATATTGTGACATGTATACATGGGGTGTTTGGTGACTGTATAGTCAATTTTGTCATGCCCACACAGCGCACTTTGGCCCCTTTCTGCGGGCGCGGCTGTCCGTCGCCAGAGGTCCACTGACTCCTCGCTGTACAGCGTTTGCTCCGCTTCCCGGTCACCCAGTTTGGCGTGACCAGCGCGCTGGACACCTCTTGAAGGGTGGTTACTTGATGTACTCAAAAGAAAGGAAAGACACAGAGCGGCCAGCCAGCAAGGCGTTTTGCCAGGGTTTGGCATGTAATGTCCTCCAAACAAATGCTGAAGATCACTGTGTGGGCTGTAGGTTCTAGCTTGCAGCCCCAAGAAAGAAATTGGAAGGGCTATGTTTTCCAGCACAAACTCTTTTCGCTGGTCGAGTTTGCCAGTCAGAATGTCATCACTTTAAGACCTTGGAAGACGGTGGTTTGAGTCTCGTGAGTCTGAGTCTTTGGTGCCCCAACACCAGAACAGACGCTAAGGGCAGACGAGAAAAGATAGAGTCAAATCCAGCACACATATCATCAATTATCTTTGGGCGATGTCCTCCATATGATTCGATGATCTGGATTCTTGGGCCCTCAACCCTCAGCCCTTGACCTCAATGTGAAAAATGGTGGCCAACTGGTCACGACCTCACTTCGCTACTTGGCGACGAAATGATGCGTTCTTGCTTCCGAAGTGGCTCAAGACGGAACTCGGGGCCCCTCGGCGCCGCGGGACGACGGCGTCTGTCGCACGGAATGGCCGCACGGAGAGAGACTTCGGCGGCGACGGAGCAAAGGGGAAGCGCCTTGTTGTTTGCCTCTTGGAACTGTGAGGTCTGGCCGGGTCCAGCCGGGGTCTGGCAAGTGAGTTCATGTTCTTTCAGGGAGCAAGTGAGCAAAGGCGAGTGCCAGCCAATCGGATTTAGGAAGGGAGGCCAAGGCCAAGGCATCGTTTGTATGACCAAACGCCGCTGTGTGCAGAAGATGTTCTCAGATTCGTCCCAGCCCCAAGGAGACGGTGCGCATGATCCGCCAGTGGATCGACTGCAGCTTCTGCGCCTCGGGCGATGCGCGCATTCGCCGAAAAGGCCTGATGAAGGCGCGCGGGCGCGGGCGCAGTCTCAGTCGCGCGTGCACGGCTTGGGACTCTCAGCGTTGGGAGCGAGGCCTGAGGCACATGGGAGCCGGGTGGATTGGCCAACATCATCCGGCCCCGGGTGGAATCAATCGAGAGATTCGGATCAAGATCTGATCAGTATGTTGTTGTTTTTGGTCTCATGGTTTGTCAGAGTCTCCCGTCCGTGGAACCTACGTCAATATCACGACTTGGACCCACCAAGTCAAAATATTATACTTATTCTATCTTGTTCTATTGAGTGCCTTGGGAATAAGACACTATAAAATGCTGGTCCTGTGCAGCACTTTTATAGAGATATACCTGCGCACATGGATTACTATAAAATAGAAAGCTGCTCAGAGCTGAGGTAACAACAAGTAATATATTTTTTGCAGTCGTAAGCAATCTTGTGTGAATGGGAACCCATTTTATAGAGATCATGTTAGGCCTGATTTGGATGAGAGACAATACAATTTGCGCAGTCTATAGAAAGTTCATTTGCTGATAGAGGATGATAAAATAATTGAACGGTTTTATAAACACATACTCGCCTGGCCTCTACACTGCAGCAACATGCCATCCATGCCATAAAATTGCACACAAGGGATTGACCCCGAATTCCCAGAGGGATATATACTATATTTTCAATGTTTTCATGTCCAACGAAAGGACAGTCTTATAAAAAGGATCTTCTCTCACTGATAGGAATCTTGCACATGTTCGTTGCCAATTTTGTTTTGGCGTGCATTGTTTTCTTGAGTTCCTGGACATTTGGGATGACTTGGGCCCACCAAGTCTTCTAAGCGTGCTTACTATGCGGAGCCCTTTCGCTTTCAGTTGGATCACCCAGGCTACACATGTACAATCAATTACATCACCAAATAATATGAACCAAAGGAAAGATCACCACAGAAAGATGATCCGCACCACAAGTGTTCTTGACGTGCGGCCAAGTCTTGGAAAGATGATTCGATGATTGAAGCGTTTTTGATTCAGAAATCAAGGACGCAGGAATTCTGCCAGATTGCTGGGCCAACACGCAGTAGATGTGTTTCTTCGTTCGTTCTCACATTGTGGTGTTCCGACTCGCGAACGTTCCTGGATGGGTATTCGCCGTTTCAAGTGGAATAACCTTGTGACATGCCTTTTTGGAAAAATTGAAAGATCCGGACAATCCAGATCGACATAATTACTATAATGATCTGTATTGGGCGAGTTTCCATTGTTTGGCCAAGTGCAGGTCCATGCAGGACCATGGACCCATCTTGTTGCAAAAAGCATTCTGACAGGAATCAGACTGGACCCCGCAGTTGGTTTGGACCTGTTCCGTTCACAAAAGCTGTTGGCAAGGCGCGCTTCACGGTGGACCTCTCGGAGAGCATGTGGCAGGCAGGGATGGACGTCCAACAACGAAGTCATCGCAAGAGCATCGGGCCAGTCTTCCCTGTCAGCAACTCTTGACTCTTGACTCAGTCGAACACCAAGTAGTGGTAAGTTACCTGGCGCATATCCGGGGAAGATCTTTGGGGTTTGAGTCCGGAACTACACCTCCCCAGATAAGCACATGGTGTTTGACGTTTTGGGATGAAGTCAGGTCGACCACATGGTCGATTCAAAATTCAACCGACCACCTAAGAAGCTGCTAGTTACTACTAGTAGCAAAAAGCTCCTAATAACAAGGGCATCGCCATCGCTACTAGTAACAAGGGCATTACTACTAGTAGCAAGAAGCTACTAGGAACAAGAACGCTACTAGGGGCTCCTGGCATCGCTACTAGGAGCAAGGACGCTACTAGGAGCTCCTGGCCTTACTACTAGTAGCAAGAAGCTACTTCGGGCTCCACCCCAGTGGCGCTTTTCACCTCAGTGCCGTCACAGTGACAGCCACGACGCATAGGAGCTGCAGCTCTTCATCAAGGCATCCTTCGCATTGTCGCGTTTGGAGTTCCACGGTTGCGCTTGGGTTCATATGCAGAATGAGTGATGTTTGCAAAACTCTTTGCATATATCATTTTATAATACTTAGTTACAGTGTATAGTATATATATATAGTCATAATATGGTTGCTCATGGTTATTGTGCAATTGTGCATGGCATGTGCATGTTGTTGTGTTTTGCTTTGTGATGTCACTCTACATGCACGTTTGCGTCCCTCTGATTTTGGACAGGCATTGGATTGGAAATTGTTTGTTGAGAATGCCCACCCACACCCATTCCTTTTGTGTCTAAAAACTATGTTCTCCATGGTCTGAAGTTTAAGCTAAAGTGATGTGGAATCCCAAGTAAGCCACTGTGAGGCTAGAAATGAAGCACCCAACAACCTTGTTTGATCAGCGGCTTGCTGCTTGTTTCGGGGAGGTACTTTGAGTCCCCACGAGCTTTGCCAAACAAAAAGGTCCATGTCACACACACACATTCACATGACTGAAAATCAATTCCAGTAGATGTGGGCATTGGACGTGAGGTGTTGTTTTTTTCTTAACCAGCGCTACTTTATTTCAATTCACTGTACCCCTAAACATCGCGCAGTGTCCTGTTGCTATTGGTCAATTCCAAGTTGAGGGGTGCCCAAGCACAGTTTGAACAGTGCGAAGATAGCCTGCAAAGTGCAAGAAGAGGAACAATGTAGACGCTGAAGGAAGCTAGGATCTATACAACTGTGAGAACGGTAGTAATTAAGCGTGCGCCCAAAAAGAGCAAAACAACAAAATCTGTGAAGAAGCTGGGAATTTGAGAGTGCATACTGCAAGAAGAGAAACATAGAGTGCAGGCCAAAAGGCAGATGCTGCTCATTGACACCAAAAGAAGGGAGAGGTAGAAAATGCAGAGGAGGAGATATCAGGAGAAAGCTGGAGGGTGCAGCGTTGAGACATATAGAAAAATACTCAAACAGTAGATGTGTATGGCAGAGAGTGCCCACGGTTGGGGTGTAAAAATCAGCCTGTACGAGCCCCATTGGGTACAATACATGCGATTTTGTGATCCTGGTAGGACTTGAACCTACAATCCCCGGCTTCGTGGGCCGATGCCAGGGGCAAAAAGGATTCGAGTCCTCGCACCCAAAGAAGGAAAACCGGCAATTTCACTGTGCAGTCAGATGCAACAGAGAGACACAAAGGGTGAACAAGGAATTGGAATTTCACGGTGTCGTCTCAAGGGCCATTTTGGTTGATCTCGTGGACGGATCTTTTGTTTGCCCCCAACTTCTATTTCCACAACAATAGAGGGTCGTGCTTCGCTTGGACAGCTTCTTCACCGTCGTGCTCCCAATGGGTTGGTTTCCGAATGGGCCCCCGGAGTTGGACTCAGCTGAGGCGGTGAAAGTCTGTTTTTGGCAACAAGTTCAATAGGTTTTGCCATGTTTTGCCGTTTGACGCCCTTGCCATCAGTGTTTCAATAAAGGGCTGCTTAGATGCCAAATTATTTCTCTTGCGGTTTTGAGTGTATAAGAGTGTATAGCTTGTCACTCACTGGTTCCTTGCTCCAAGGATCAAGAGGTCCGAGAAGGATGGCAAGTCCTGCGTGGAGTCTTTGTGGCTAAGATTCCGGACCGAGAGAGAAGGCGCTTTTAATTAAATTCTAATGAAATTTAGATTAGTTTTAATTCTAATTCTATTGAATTCTTGTTTATAGTAACGTCCTTGCTGCTAGTAGCGATGCCCTTTGCTCCTACCAGTTCTTGGTTGGTGAAGGCATGGCGGTCGTGTTGCCTCGTCCAAAGTCCAGTGCCGCTGAGATGCGGTCGAAGTCGTCGAGTCACCGCCTGGTGTGGTGCTTCATTGTCGGGACCATAGGATCCCACCCAAAACCTCACAAAATAGGGACGGGTTCGTTTTTGGAGCAACACCCAGCCTTGAAGGTGGAGATGGGTTGCTGGGACCTTTCAGAAGACTCGAACCGTGGGACTTCGCACAAGGCTGTTAATTCGACTGTCGTGACCGCAATCTCACGGTCAGTGGCCAAACTTCCATGGAGCTTCTAGATGGAAAAGTTGTTGAAATATGTCGAAACTACTGCATCAGGCAAATCTACGGAGTGAACCGGCTTCGTGACACATCACCCAAATCCCCTGAAGCCAAGCAAATTCATGTTATTCTTTTGGTGGGTTGAGTGTCAATCTTTGGACGTTTGGAGATGTATGTGCAATCCAAGGTGTACTGTATAGACATGTATACTGTATACTTATAATTTTCTATGTGGCAGATGAAGGAGTTCCCACAAAAACATAAAGGATGTGTCAAAGAAAGGTCTCAAATCCAGCAGTCCAACTGCACTTGTTTGGTTGACTTGTCTCTACAACTCACCTGCAATGCAGTCAGGAAGTGACGCTGTCAGCGGAAGCGCGGGATGTCTATTTGCAGAAGCATCCAGTAGCTTGATGGGACCGGAAAGCTTAAACGATGGCTTTCGAGTTCTTGACACAGTTGTTTGCTGTTGTTTGTGTCCTTTTTCTCTAAACAACTGTGTAAAGGAATTTTCAGGCCTGAGTAAAGCACGTGAACGGTTGCATGTTATCACCACATGTATTGTAATGCACGCATGCTTTCTTCTAGATGAGCCCTGAAAAAAAAAGCCTCAAGCCTCGCAACCGAACGTTTCCTTGAACGATTGTACTTCACACAAAAAAGACATTTGAGCAGCGTTTTAAATTCACCGCTTCTTTTTTAGTCTGGGACCGGCGAAAAATCAGTGAACATGAACATAGTGTTCTTAGCTGATGTTTGTAAGGTGTCCGTAAGGTTTGCCGTAAGGATGTGCAGACTTGAACGATGCCGTAAGGCTACCGGAAGCGAAACTTGTTTATGTTGATTATGTTTCCTTTCTTGTTTGGCAACAACATCATATGTGACCATGATGGACGTTCATACCTTCGCGTAAGCACAACGTAAGAATAGCCATGCACACATGTGTCACCGTAAGCAACACATAGACAAACGTAAGCTTTGCGTAAGGCCTACCGTAAGGTTTGATTTCTCGGCAAGAAAAGACAACACAATTTTGAACACTGTCACATGTTATGCAGAACACGCAAGAGCAAAAGGTTCTTTCTATTCTTTTGTACCATACTGTTTGTCAGCAGTGAAAGTTGTTCACCAGACGTCTTTTCAGTTTTCAGAGCGTTGGCATCCCTTTCACGCGTTGAAGACAAACAACTTGAATATGGCTACTGCTTGGTTGAACCCAATCTTCAGGGCTGCAGGATGGGAGAGACCACCCATGTTTGATGGACCTCAGAAAAACGATATTGGCAGGTGGACAAATATATTGTTCTTAGGCACCATGGTATGATGACCACAGATGTCAGACAAGAAAAGTAGAAAGCAGACATGACCACCCCCATATTGGATTCCAAAACAGTGGTCGCTAATCTTACAGGAGAACCCTTTCATTGAGTGGGTCAACAGTTGGTTTCGGGATCCGAGATGGGACGTCTTTGGGACGTGAGTGCACGTCTTCTCGGATCATCGTTGCCCACCGTCGGAATTGCAGTATAGGCCACTGTAAGCAAATCAATCGTCTGAGCTCATTGAGACGTTCTGTTTCAAGTTCTCTCTGATGTCACCTGTTCCCAATTTTGCTACGCTACACTGAGGAGCTGCGCGCCAAAGCAGCTGCCGCCGATGGTGCCGCCGATGGCTCGCCGACGGCTCGGGAGGAGGCGCTGGAGAGTCTCGGACGTGGGGAAGGGCCGGTTGGGAACGGGTATGGAGGGACGCTACGTTCGGGGCTCCTGGCCTTACTAATGGAGGGATCTACAGCAGTGAGATTCACAAGGTCTATGTTTAGATGGATAGGGGCTGAAGTAGGTGAAGTTTCTGGAGGATTTTGCCAAGCCGATAGTAGTCAGTAGTGGGGTATAATCATTGCATAGGCGGAATTCCAAAATTGTTGATTAACATTACAAAGGGGATGTGTCAAGTCAGTGGATTCATGAGGCCTACAGGTTCCTTCGTAAGAAGCGAGCTCCCCTTACGCGCCAGTGAGAAAGGAGGGATTCATTGTATGCAGTTAATGATAGATCCATAGGAATCGCACTTGAAACAAGACTTGCACTGCATAATATACATTACGAATACATTCAGAATACATATATATATATTTATAGTTAATGGTTTTGCATATAGTCCAATTCACGACGACCATGAGCAGTTCATCCATTTGTTCGCCCCAGCTTCGCTTCTGGGCACAGCTGCATGACCTGCGCAGCTGCAAAACCTGATTCTCTTATCGCTACTAATAACACGGGCATCGCTACTACTAGTAGCTAGAAGCTACTAGACTAGGGGCTCCTGGCATCGCTACTAGGAGCAAGGACGCTACTAGGGGCTCCTGGCCTTACTACTAGTAGCTAGAAGCTACTAGTAACTACAAAACGGACGATGCCAAGGACGATGCCTCCAGCTAAGCGCGTGAAGCTCTCGGAGGTCGTGGCCGTGGAATGGGGCGAGTTGGGCGGACCGCGCGAGCCGATCAGATCGGCTGACAAGAAGGATGGGAAGAGAATGCTACATGTAAATCTTGACAGGCATACTGACAAGCAGTGTGTCCAATGGAGTCATGGGCTATTTAAATGTGTGTTTTGGGTGGCTTTGGATGTGAATGTGCGTATCTAAATGGACGGCTCATTTACCAGAGTCAGGCGACAAAAGCGCTGTGTTGGGACATGGCCAGGTTGTTTTGAAGCAAAGGACATGCACCTTCAGAGTTAAGACTAAGGGCCGCGCCAAGAGCGGAGCAGGAGATAGGCCGCTGAAGATCGGGCCGTTCCAACGAACAAAGATCGATCACGAAGGTATAAATTCAGCATGCGATCCTCGATCCCTTCACAATGTTCCCAAGTTCCCTCAAACGGAATCAGATTTGTTCACCCTCTCTTACATATATTATCATATTAAATAGAGGTCTCCTGGTCACTGAGGCGCCAGCGCCTTCCAACGTGGCGTCGCCGCAACGTGCATGCGCAGTGACAGGGTCGCCCGTGGGTCGTGGCCCCGAGAAGGAGAGCTGCTGGGCAGAGCGACGAAGTCTTCGTTCGGCTCGGTTCGCCTCAGGGCAGACAGCAGAGTGGTTTGAGAGAAGGTGTTCCAGGTGGGTGATGGCAGGTGACAGATGCTGTGAAGTGATGTGCATAGTGAAATGCGTTTTGGTTGTGTGCCTCGAGAGCAGGTTGCAGGTTGAGCGTCGAGACCCTCAGGCAAGCAGCGTGTTCAGTGGGAAGGCATCAACCCAAGGCGCATGGCCTACTAGCAATGGTCTCCAACCTACTAGCGCCAAAGAAAAGTCATAGTGAAACAAAATGAGGCTTCCAAAGTCGGTCAAGAAACACTGGTGTTCCTCTTTTGCCACCTTTGCCACACCGATCATCCACGTTACTTTGATGCAGGAACTGGCACCCAAGATGGTCTCCGAGGGCATGACTGGCCTGGAGGAGCCCATGGTGGGTCAGGAAACATGAGGATAACCAGTCCAAAAATCACCACAACGAAAACCGCAAAGGATCCAAACATATCCAATCCAACTGTCCGAGTTATTGGCCAAGCCAACCTTCTGATCCTCGAGTGTAGAAGACAAGAGTGGCTTCAATTCTATATAATGTGTGTAATTTTGTTTAGAATTGAATAGTTCTAGATGCAAGCTATGAAACAGACAGAAGTTGGCTCGGTACGCCCACAAAGCGGGGGAAGCTGTGAAACCCGGATGTCAATCGTCGCTTCAGTACCGCACGCGACATCCGCAGTTCAGTTGATGGACCAGTTCCGCACGCTACGACGTTAAGCGTTCTCACTGTGGGACAAACGGACGCGCCCATGGTTCTCGGCTGTACGACTAGAGGAGCTTGGTACGGTATAACATGTTTGAATCCACATTCGGCCCAAACGGTGTGGGAGAAAACTTGGTTGTATTCAGCATTGGCACATGTTGGAACCATAAGTGTGTCGATTGTTATTTTTCCAGTTTTTGGCAGTTTCAGGTTGTCGACACATTGAACTAGTGAGACTTTGTCCCAATCCTTATGATTGATGCATGAGCACCTTGTCAATTGCTGCATCGCAGCCTAGTCCTCTCGTGTTTTTTTAGATTCATTAGTCCTTCAATCTTATAGTATTTTAGATGATTTTAGAGTATTTTAGTGGTCGACCAACTGAATCAAAGGTCTTTTCTTTTGTAACACTGGACGAACATGATTAAGTTAGGGACTTGGCCCCGCCTATACGCTTGATCCATCATGATTGCAACATGCACTTACACCACATGCAAGTGTTTCAACCAAACCAACCAAGAGAGGTTATATTGAGTGACCTCATAGGGCCCTACTGGGGTACCTATGGGACCTATGGGATAGTCTATAGGGTCCGTCAACCTCTGTTCGGAAGTTTGTGTTTCAGGTGTGGGTTGTGGTGTGGGTTGTGTGGTTCAACGCGCCTCATCGAAGTGACAGGAGGCCCGAGACGCGCTGAAGCGCGCGCTCAAAGCAACTCGGCCACGACGGGATTCGGAGTGCCAAGAGGATAGAGATCGAAGCGGCTGCCACACAGTACTGGGGAGATCCGCGTGAGGTGCGGGTGAGTCCGGGATTGGTTGGCATCCCATCCCTAAAATCAATCAAGATGTTGCTCATGGAAGAGAAAGAGGGGAGAGAAACAGAGACGTGGAGCACTGTCGGACAAAATTCCGACTGCGACGCATGAACGGAAGTGTAACGTTTTGCCGTCGTATTGTTGGAATATAGTCATCGGGTGTCTAGACCAGCTCAACGGACTGTACGTAGAGGAGTGATGGCTTCAAACCTACTAGCGAAGGCCTCCAATCTAATAGCGATGGCCTCCAACCTAATAGCGATTCCCTCCAACCTAATAGTGATGACCGCCAACCTAATGGCAATGGCCTCCAACCTACTAGTGATTGCCTCAACCTACTAGGAAAGGCCTCCAACCTAATAGCAATGGCCTCCAACCCTACTAGCAATGGCCTCCAACCTACTAGCCGTCGCTAGTTGCTATTAGGTTGGAGGCCATTGCTAGTAGCTTAGAGGTCATTGCTAGGCTCATGCTGAATAGTGCCAACGAAGTGCGTATTCGATGCTTCCGATTCAGCAGGGAGGCTGGTCTTACCTGTAAAATGAGATGGTTAAAGCGGAGAAAAGGTTAAGCGAAGAAATGCTTAAGCATGCTTGAGACACAATGAGGCGCGCTGTGCCACAACCAATTGACTAGTGGGGTGGTTCTGATTCTAGAGGCAACCACTGAAGCCACCGATTAGAAGACACACCCCTTCTTGAGTGACTCACCATTGCCACAACCTCCCTTTAGTTGAATATGTTTGCGATGAACTGAGGAGAAGAAAGGGCACAAGGAAGCGCTGGCCTGGTTGAAGGCCAGTCCCTGATGTCGAGCAGGGAGAGAACATGCTCTGCTTTCACCTGCCAAACTTTGCTGCTCTCGGAGTGGTTGGCATGGACCCGACAAAATGCTATATTCCACTACAAACAGGGTGTTCTCCACCAGAGCATGTAAGTGTGAGTCAGAGTGAAACCAAGGCCGCAATTCTTCATGCGAAAGGAAAACACCCCTATGACCTCTCAAGGGCCCAGGTGGAGGGAAGCCCGCAACCACAATACTGGAATACTGAGCCGTACGTGGTACATTCTACACTCCGGAAAATTCACATAGAACCTGAAAGACACTGGGTTGTAGAGGAAAATAGCCTTCCAAAGGTCCATTTTCAGGTTCCATGTTAGTCTTCCCGGGTGCAGTGCAAATGAACCGCTCACTTGGCTGGGAAACCTGGTGTGTGGATCAATAGATGATAAACACATTTGTAAGACGCAAACGCATGCTTGCCCAGCCGCCCGAAATCAGAAAGCCTGGTTATTGCATGGTGACTTGGAAATCCCTGGTGTCAATGTGTTTCTTTCAATAACGCTACGAGCTCCACCAATCTGCGACGCCTTTCCTTTCGGCAGGGCCTCCAGCACCGCCAAGTCACTGCCCGGGAGTTGCAACACACGCGCATCGGCCTCGTGGTGTCTTGACAAAGTTAGTTTACATGGAATCAATATATCATTATTGACAACATAGTTAATAGTTAGTTTTCAATATTCATATTCAAAGTTATTTGTATTCACGACATACAAAGTTAGTTTTCTTGACAATAACATATCAGATATTCATGGTGCAGTTTTCATATGCCCAAATATACGAGATATCCTTGGACGGTACTTTGGCTTTGGAACATTCTGTTCCGTTATACATGCTCCCAATGTTTCCCCCCAGAAGTTGTGTGTTTGGGTACTTGGTTGCCTACCGGGGGCATCGTCCAAGTAAATATATGATGATACTTGTATTTCTGTTTTGGCCTCAGTTCAACTCGCGATTTGCCAAGGTGAATGAGTGGCGCAAGGAGAAGAAGACCTCGGTGTCAACCTTGGCCACACGGCGGACGGGAGCGAGCATGGATGGCATCCGGTTCCCCGAAGCGGTCGGGAGTTCAGCCACTTGAAGCGGTCGACCCTTTGAGGAGACCAATGAGACCGGTTTATTCCAGGTAGCCTTTGAGATGGTTTTTGGAGCCAAAGGGACCCACGCTGACGTTCAGATTGCTTTGGCTTTCTAGCCCAGAACTCTTTGATTGATTCTTGATCAACAGCGGAGTTGGGCTGTGCACACCACCGGTGAATGGCATTGGCCCTTGGCACCCAGGGTTGATTGCCTCTTGCATCAGGTGCGGATATCTTTCTCCCCGCAAACAATCACGTTGCGCGCAGTGTGCTGAACGTTTCGAGTCTGCCTCTTCACCCCTTTCGATCGTGGCAGCCACTGTAACAAGTTTGAGCGATGGATGAGTCCCGCAGCATCCCGAAACTAGTTTTCAGGCATCCAAAAAAGGAAGAACGAACAGATTCACAGACTTCCGAGACCCTTGGAGACCTTTTGTTCTGTAGCACGAATCCATTGCTGCTATGGCAAGGGACTTAACCAAGCACCCGCAAATATCCAGTCCGGTCGAGAGAAACGATCGGAAAAGACTACCGATGGCATCGAGGCCAGCCACCTGCTTTCTCTGTGGAAGAAGCTGTGGCTTGAAGCCCAGAAGGCGCCAAGCACCTGAGCAGCGTTTGACCCGGCTCTGCTGCATTTGACCCGGGTGGGCAGGGCTGTGCCTTCCTGGTCGTTGGGGTGAACTGTTTCGACGTGTTTCGACCCTGAAGTTCTCCACGCCAGGCATTAGAAAACCCATGGCAGTTGGTGCGTTTCCTTCCTTTCCCTTTGCAATCCTACGAGGTTTCTAGGGTGCTAGCAGCCAATCTACCTTAAACTTTAAAGCCATAAATAATGTGGAGAGTGTTCTTTGGACAGGTCGGATTGCAATAGTTACTTTTTGGACTATCAAACACCCAGCCGAAGTTTTTGATTGCTGGCTGCCTTTTAATGGAATGATAGCCTTTCCATGGATAAGAGAACCAAATCCAGAAGCTCTTTGGGATTACGGAAGGACAATTGTTAGAAATATATGGAATGAGACTAGAGGATGTGAGTGGGCACCAGTGAGACGGCAGTTGAGCCAGCATTTCTCAATGAACCCGCTTACCCGGGCGTCTACCCACTCATCCGCTTACCTCAACCCACATGGAAACTGCCACAGGAGGTTAGGAAGATGATTTTTCCTCAACTGGGGGGTGGCAGACTATTCACTATTGAACATCCTCATTCATCCTCATTGTTTGTTTTTTGTGTCATCTACTCGTCGTCAAACACGCCTCTTGTAATTTCACCTTTGTCCCACCTGCCTTTTCTTGCACATCAACCGACCGTGGTGTGTTAGCCCTTCGGTGGAACTTGCCCAACCGACCAAAGCGCGGTGACGTGGCAATTTCTTGGGCTGTGGCCTCCGACCAAGCGCTGACGACGTTCGTGACCTTTTTCGAAGACAAAGGCAGAGCCTCCAATGTTCAAGGTTTGTTCCCAAACAACCCAAACAACATTGAACGACAGTAATACGATAGTATTTAGTATTTTTGGAAGCAGGCGTTTGTTGTGCTACAGCCCAGCGAAATGCATTTCCACTGCGTAGATGTGCACTTGTATAGACAGTAGGTACGACTCTCAGACGGGGGTTCGTTCAGGCGGAATGGCGCAGTCGAGAGATGAGCTGTGCGGATGTCGATCCAGCCAAATCCACCGGTGGTGAGAATCAATCCTCCATGCTCTTGAGAGAGAAACTGTTTTGGGTTTTCGAGGTCGGTAAAGAATGGGATGAATGAATCCATCTTTACAAATGACGGATCGACGGGAAAATTGCGTGGGATGTGTCAGCTTTCCTTGCAACTACATTGGCGCGAGATTGGGTACCAACCATTGTTCATTGCTGTATAAGAGGCCACTGTGTCAAGACGACCCATGGTGTCCAAATGAAATATCTATATAGATGAGATTGCAAACCCGCAGGGCTTCACTTTTCATCAATATAGATTAATTCCCTGCCGGCTGTACTGTAGCATTTACCATCTGAGACAAGCAGGCCCAACATCTTGTTGCCAGGTCCTAAGGGCTTTTTACGTTTCGAGCGACACGCGGCGAAAAGAAGCTGTGCTGGCCAGTATAGCAGTCTGGGTCAAGGGATCCAACAGGGTGACAAAAGGAGACGAAAGGAAAACACTCAAAAGCATAGATTGATCCTCCCCTGATAGTTCGTTCCGATTGTTGATATTCCTTTTTCGGGGCTTTGACCTGTTGCATCCTTGTCAATCAGTTTGTCCTTTTCAATTTGGAGGTTCAAGAAGGGTGGTTGGTAATTGGTGAGGTTGGATTTGAAAGTAATTCTTCTCCATAAACACTTCAAGGGAATGAGCAAAGGAGAACATACCAAACGACTGCGGCCAAGAACTGCAAGATGACTTGACGGTGCTTTGTTATTCCTTATTTCCTTTGTTCTTCTGTGTTCCCCCCTCTGCGCGCTTAACAACACCTTAGCGCCGTGTATGAACAAGAAGAACAGGATGATATAGGTGCCAGGATGAAAGCCACAGCCTTCCGGTCAAGGTGGACAGCAAACGGGTCCTTCATACTACTTGAACGAAAAGGGTCGACCTCTACTTTCACCCTCTGAGGCTCTGGAAACCGGTTCCGGTGTGCGAGCCAGTCTTTAATGAGTTGGAGGAGTTATATGTCTACAGCAGAGCCCCTAGAAATCGGCTGTTCACAAACAGTACTCGTGAGTGTTGGTGTTCTTTTGACTCTCCGCTCTCCGCGTCCGCAGCCCCAGTCAGCTCCTGCAAAAAAGTAAAACTAGGTCATGCGCCCTCACTCTCCAGAGCAGCCATGATGACCCACGTGGCCAGTTCGCATTTTTATAAAATGCCCTCATGTCAAACCTACAGATCATAGGGTCGATACTCCTCTAAGTTTACAACCATCCTGGAATATAAACCAATCCAAAAACATGACCAGTTTCCTATTGTTTGGGGATTCCCCATATTCTATCTACTATATATGATACCAAAGATACGTGGCGTCGCTCTTCCAGGACCTTTGTTTTCTTCTATTGTACTGAATTTCAATTTTCCGAGTGCGTTCAGTGCATTCTGAATAATGAATAGTGATCCCCAACGAATCAACGCAGACGAAGCGCCAATGGTGTTTGGACATGGTGCAAATTTCACTGTTGAAGAAAAGCCTTTGGAGTCACATCAACATTCTGGCACGATGCGACGATGCGTTTAAGTTTAGGTAAACATTGAAGTCAAACTTCAGACACGTTCTATCTACTGATCACTGATACCATAGCCGACTATAGCCCACTTTCGGGCAATGCGTGCTCTACATGTCGAGCGTTAGTGATGACACTGAATCGTCGGCGACCTAGATTTGGTGCTTGTTTGTTGAACTTGTTTTAACAAAAAAGGCTGCCGTCGGTGTTCCCTTGAACTTGTTGGGGAGTGTATGGTTCCACTGCGAAGAGCAGATGAGGAAGGGCAATCTGCTTTCTCCCAGGAATCTCAAGGACCAAGGAGGCAAGTATTGCAGCAGCATGCAGCAGCCCTATAAGAAGTTCGGCCCTTGAAGACATAGGGTCTAAGACGTGCGGGCCAACAAAGGAAACAGACGCAGAGCCCTGCAAAAAGATTGATCCTCCGCGTAAAAATAGCAGCCGAGGCCGAGGCGACTGCCACCTGGACATCCCATCGCTCTCCCAAGCGGATGTCATTTCGTCCTCACGACTTCCTTTCTTGACGTCAACCGATGGCTAACTTGTAATTATGGCCGTGGTTGCGATATGCCTGATACTCGTTTTTGCTGGACATTGCTCCAAAGAGATTTTGGGTCCTCTGACAGACAAGAAGTTCATGTGCGTTTCGATTTCAGACAAATCAAAGAAGACGCCGCCCCATGTCTAAGAGGATACAGGAAATGAGTGGCACGCCCAACGCAATCTTGGCCTGGGTGTGTTTGGGCACAGTGTACACACACTTAGATCAAGGCTCGCAAGAGCGGTATCAGTTGAGGTAATCCACTCTAGTGATTACAATACCGGTGCAGAGACTAGACCTTGCCTTGCAGAACAGAAGGAGTGCTGGGTCGGAGAAAAGAAGTTTTAACAAACGCGTTAGCACTTAAGAAGGGATTAAACAGTTCCTGCAGGCACGTGATTCTGGCGTCCCAGAATCATATCACATCCGATCAGCAGTGTCTTTGTTAGGCAGTGACTGCTGAAAGGACCACTGCCCCCCTGCACTGTACAATTAAATTCCTTAGAAACAGGTGGTGACACACACACAAAAAGCCGGATCGGCGCACTGTCTTTTTTGACTCCGCGGGGCATTTTCTCAAAAAGCCGTAGTCGGCGCACCCTTGACTGAAAAGCCTCAGTTACACCTAAAAAGAGCCTCTAGAAAAACGAGAAAAGGCTTAAAAAACGAAGAGCAACAGCAGGAAGGAAAGAAACCAAAAAAGTGATTGCTTAGCAATCCCGCCTGAAGTCTATGATTACTTAGCCGCATGAAGATGTATGTCATTCTTTGTTTATCTTTGTTTTCTGATCTCAGCACGCCCTGCGGCATAGTATCGGCATTCTCGTGCATGACCATGGATCGAGGAAGGATCGAGTGAAAGGCGGTGGATCAGGTAAGGGTCACCCTTTACGGGCATGTGCACATGCAGCGCCCCTCGTTGGGGATCACACCACAGCCCACAGTGGGACTCTGTGGCGAAACACACTTAGATCAAGGCTCGCAAGAGCGGTATCAGTTGAGGTAATCCAGGAACACTGCATGGATCAAACAACTGATTGGTTCTATGTTGGAGCTGCTTTGTTAACACTTGGCCTTGGACACGACGGACATCCCGATTTGCCAAACCAGCTCAAGAGACCCATGCCAGCGGGGTGAACATCTGACAGGAAGGCTGCCAGGAGTGTTTATGATTCCAAGACCTGCCAGGCATTCTGACCACCATAAAATTCACTCAGTGAAGTGCCGTAAAGAGGATTGATAGAACAAATAGATACAGACAGTTAGTAGGGTCATTCCACCGGGCCACGAAAGATCCCATCCCCCACAGAGTTGACAAAAGTAAGTCGTTTGTTAGCAAATGTGTTGGGGTTCTTGTCGCAATTTGCAGGCCATCCGGAAACTTGAGAAAATGCATGGGTTTTTCCTTAATATTGAATTTGTGCGTGTTATTTTTTCAACATGCCCGGAATACATTGCTTATTCAGAACCGGTGGAGGCCCCTAGTGGTAGATGTGTTTGGCTTTTAGATTCCTCCTGATTTTTCACAGATCAGATGAAAACAACAGTGCCGAGGTCATCGCACTTTGTGACACCTGCGAGCGATGTGAGGCCGAAGTGTATCGGTGTTGTCTTGTGGTACACGCGGGTTGGACAGATTGATCCCACTTGTCTCCAAAGCAGTGTGAAAAGAGTAAACCCAATTCGCTGGACAAACAGGAGTGCACCATGCTCAGGGAACAATCAAAGAGGGTTGTGGGATGTGGGTCTGAACCAATGATCGCGATTGCGATGATCAGTTGTGCCAGGGTGTCACCGATCGACTACAAACCCGTTGTGAGTCAGGGATGGCGCTGGGGTAGGAAAATTGGAGTCCCTAATCAGGAGGTTCAGTGTGAGTTTCGCTGGGGTGACTTTGAAAGAGCACAATTTGTTCGCTTTGTGGCGAACTGCAAAGCGTCAGAATTCTACACCTGTCACCTTATAGGTCCATAGGCTCATAGGGATCTATATAAGTAATCACTTACTGATAAGATATGTGCGATTTCTTTCGGGTGGTTTAAGGGGTTGCATGACCTTCTCAGGTGGTTGGATCTCGAGGGAAATTGGAAGGAGTTTATGAAAGGGACACCAAAACAACAGACATCCACCAGCCTGCGACCACAAAAATGAGTTTGGCGTCCAAAGATGTCTTCCGGGTGGACATGAACCTGAAGGCTGCCCATGTGCAGTTTTTGGTCCTTGAAGACCAAGCTTCGTCGTAAGTTGTGGGACGTAAGACTGAAATCCTTGGGGTGCTTGGTCCAAGACAGACTCCTTCGGCGCCTTTGGCCATGATTGAATGAATGCAGAATGTCCACTAGGAGCGATCGGACGCTACCAGGAACAAGAAGCTGCCAAGAGCTCATATCAACCTACCAAGAGCTGCCTCCTGTCTTCGCATCCTTGAGCCAACGGCATCAACGGCCGCCATCGACGTTTGTCTTCAAGCAGGCTTTCAGCCACTCAGCAGGCGCTCGCAGGCAGCACGGCCAAAGGAGTCGGAGGGCTCAGTTGGTGATTTCATGAGAAAGCCAGGGAAGCATAGTAACAAGTGCATCGCTTCTAGTAACAAGTGCCTTACTAGTAGTAACAAGAAGCTACTAGGAACAAGAAGCTAATACACATCTACATGTTCAAGTCAACCCATGTGTGACAAGTCACATCATCAATCGCAGAATCATGCCAAATCTAAATAATTAGCCAACCCAGATGAAGAATGAACCGAATAAACCCATAGAAACCCTTTCGAAGACAGTCTAACAATCCACCTCTGAGATTCCGTCGCTCGGACGCACCAGCTCAATTCAAGCAAGGCACAGACACAGGTTCGGAACGACTCATAGGTTGAGCCAATATATGATTCACTGCAGAATCCCCAAAGAGATCAGAGAAGTGAGCCCCATTCCAAGATTCTTTCAAACGCCTTGGCCATATATTTGGATCCTGTTCTTCAACCAAGGCTCTACCCAGTGCCGTCACTGTAGGATTTTCAAGGTTCAATGTTCAATCAGCATTCAATGAACCTGATGGACGAGGAAATGAAGGACCTAAGAAGCATGCAAGCGAACGTCATTCAACAAAATCAGGGACACCTGTTCTTGCAGATCCGTGATCTGTGACGTGAGCCGGGCAGGCAGATGAAGGATGGTCGAAATTGAAAGATGAACCTGGTCCATTGGTGACGAGGATTGAAGACCGCAATACTTAGAAAGACAGTTAGTTACCCATGAACAATCCCAAGTCGACGGATGGAAACAGTACCTTGTGCTCACATCACATGAAACAGTACCGTGTTTGTCGATCCGAAGAAAGCGGAAGGAAAGAACCTCGCCCAAAACGGTCGCTTCAGGCCACCAAACTGATCTTGTACCCCTTGGACACGTTCAAAAGTCGCCGGCAGGCGCGGTCGAACGAGCCGAGCCGAAAACTGATGTTGAAGAGAGTCTTAAAGAGTTTGCCTCAAAAGATAGACATCACATGTCTCAGAGAGTGTTTGCCTCATGCAACACAGAACTTCAAACATATCGCTTTGCGGTGAAAGACACACCTCACAGATCCTCACGGTTTCACCGGCAATGACGTTGCGCGGGGAACATCGTGGAACCAAATGGATTTGAAGGCAGGATGGACGGACTTGCCAGATCTGAGTGACTTTTACCAAAGTGCCTGCCCGGTCAAGGCATGCCAATGAAAGATTCCAGTACGCTGAACTTAGATGAGGTAGCTGTGGGTCATGTCACCCTGCGTAGGCTTCCATCCACACCTTGCTATTCTCACCAGTCCCATGTTGCAAGAGATGTTGTCAGTACATTTGATTCATTTGTTCATTTGTCAGTACTACTCATCTTCTCGCTGTGGCACCTGCCTTGACAGACTTCGTGGCCGAAGTCTGGCGTGGTTGGTTTTCGTCGTCCTCGTGGTCCAGGATTAAACGGAAGGTCCGACCTGCTGAGACCTCCTGGGAATATGGTTGTTATTGTTTGTTTGTTTGCTTGTTGGATTTCATAGTGCTTCGAAATCGAAAGGACTAGATTGATCCAGGACCCAGGACATGTCTAGTTTAAACCAATACCCTAGCAGCCACCTCCAAAGGGATTAGCCAACTCATTCGGCCCACCAGGAGTTTTTGAAGAGATAGGACATCAGCCCTAATATATTGTGTGAAATACATGTTGATTCAATTTTGATCCATTTACATACTTTGACAAGTTCCAAATAAATACCGTAGAAATATGCTTGCAGCAGGTCTAATGTCATTCATTGAATTCGACTGGAAACTGCAACTGTAGCGAGTGCTGCCCATGAATGGATCAATCTTTTTCGCATTGGGAAAAGGTCTGGAACGCAAGTAATCTGGCTTGGAGATCCTTGATCCTCCACTTCAATAAAAGGTTTGGGGAACTGGCCATGGTATATAAATTAGCTCCGAGGTTCTTGATCAGTTCTCTTGAAGAAGGCCTCTATTAGCACCGGCAACCACAGTCAGCCCCCTCAAAACCTTGACCCATAGTCGACTTGTTGGGTCCACTATATAGTATGTTGTACGCAGCCAGTGATCCCTCCACAAGCTTCCACAAGCTGCTGTCAAGTCATCCCCCAAAGGACCTAAACCGATAGCAATCCCGGGTTTCACAATCATCATTTGCTAATTCATAATAGTTTGTTTTACTATGTGTCAATCAGATGCCACAGATAGATGTGCTTTCGGTATCACTTTCTTGCTTTTGGATCTGCCCCCACAACCAGCTCCGGCGCAGGCACGGCGCTTTGGAGAGCTGCAAGAGTTCAGGCACCTGCAGACGCTGCGAGGTGCGCGAGGGACGCGATACGGACGACGGTTCCTCGAGAGGCTGCGCGTTACTACTGGTAGTGCGGCTATTAAGGACTGTGTGTACTTCATTGTCTTGGGATTTCAGAGGATACGTTTGACATCACAAATGAAGATGTTCATTCCAAACTTCAGGAGCTTGGAGGATGCCGTCAGAGCACAGAGTGCCAAAGGATGTGGTGGTGGGTTTCTCAGGTAACCTTGGGTAGCTCTTTTGAAACCTTCTTTGACCTGTTGTGATTGGAATCAGAATTGGCATGCACAAGACGTTTGGCAAAAGAACAGGTTCGGACTAGCAGAACACTTATTCAATCAGGTTTCCTTCAAGAATCCTTTTGTTTCCTTACCACAACAAGTTGTTTTCCACGATGGGCTATATGAAGGTACACCTTTTGCGCACTGAGCGTAGATCCACGAAAGCCAGGCTTTGTGGCCACCCCCTTCTCCTGTTGTGCATGCAACAAACAAGGTGAGCCCGCAGACCCAAAAGCAAAAAGAAGCGCACAACCCAGGAAAAATAAACAAACACAAATTAGCAGGCCAAAACGAAGCATCAGCCCCCTCCAGGCTTCGTGGCAACTATGATATTTCAAGCATCGCGGTTCCGGTGCAACACAGCTCCACTCACCTCCCAACGGGCTTCCGCGAAGCATGGAGCAGCACTACCCCCACCCATGCTTCGTTCTACTTGTGCACTGACCCGGAGCAGCCTGCAATGATGCTGGTGGTGCAACCATGTGCTCGACGCAACAACAATCCTGCCGTTTCAGCCACGACTTGACCGTCTGTCGCGTGCATTGCGCACTTTTTGGACACCCAAGACCATCGTATAAGCCCCGCAGCTCCACTCACCTCCCAACGTGCTTCCGCGAAGCATGGGGCAGCACTACCCCCACCCATACTTCGTTCTACTTGTGCACTGACCCGGAGCAGCCTGCAATGATGCTTGTGGTGCAACCATGTCCTCGTAACTAGCATATCAGCCGCGCAAGCGTCCACACCCATGCACTCCCCACACCCAAGCCACGCCGTCTCACTCCCCTCCATCTTCCCTCCCCAGCCCCGTCCACACCCATGTGCGCCTCCCACTCCCTTCCTTCTTCCCTCCCCACCCATGCGCCTCCCGTCTCGCCTCCATCTTCATGCGCCCGTCTCGCTCCCCTCCATCTTCCCTCCCAGCCCCGACCCCACGCGCCTCCCGTCCCATCCACGCGCCTTCCGTCGCGCTCCCCTCCACCCATGCACCTCCATCTTCCATCCCCAGCCCGTCGCCTCCCGTCTCGCTCCCCTCCATCTTCCCTCCCCAGCCCCTCTGGCGTACTTCTAGGGCTCCGTCCGACTCTGCGCCGCACGGTCTCCGACGGATCCCCAGTTTGGGCCACATGTGGCGTTTCCGTCTTTCGTCGGGTTGGCTTTTGGATGTGTCATATACCTGGAACCTGAGTGACCCCTGTTTTGGAGGATCAACTATCTCAAATATGGCCTTTTCCTGTCAAAAAAGGTGTCAAACGGATTCTGGGTGTATATATATATATATATATATTTTTTTCTTTAATATATATCAACTGGTTGTTTTCAATCTGCAGCTAGTCTCCAATAACATTGCAACATGGCTTCTGACAACCGTTCCAGGAAGCCTGGAGCAGTATCGGCCCCCTCCAAGGTTCGTTCCATTTCCCACGTTGCGCTTGTGGCACATAACGCTCCTCCCGTGTCGGCCATGCCTTGACTGTCTGGCGCATGTACTGTGCACATTTTGGACACCCAACCCCATCGTATCAGCCCCGCAGCACAGCTCCACTCACCACCCAACACACGTCCGCGAAGCATGGACCAGCACTACCCCCACCCATGCTTCGTTCTACTTGCGCACTGACCTGGAGCGGCCTACCATGATGCTTGCGATGCGACCATGTGCTCAACGCAACATTGCCTGTCGCAGGCATTGCGCACATTTTGGACACCCGAGACCATACCTAAGCCACACCGCTCCATTCACCTCCAAACGTCCCTCCGCGAAGCTGGACCAGCACTACCCCCACCCATGCTTCGTTCTACTTGCGCACTGCCCCAGAGCAGCCTGCACTGATGCTTGTGGTGCGACCATGTGCTCAACGCAACCATGTCTGCCGCGTGCATTCTGCACATTTTGGACACCCAAGACCATACCTCAGCCCCCCAACACCGCTCCATTCACCTCCCCACGTGCCTCCGCGAAGCATGGAGCAGCACTACCCCCACCCATGCTTCGTTCTACTTTTGCACTGCCCCAGAGCAGCCTGCAATGATGCTTGCGATGCTTGCGGGCTCCCGTCTCGCTGCCCTCCATTTTCCCTCGCCAGCTCCCGTCTCGCTCCCCTGCATCTTCCCTCCCCAGTCTCGTGCCCACCCACGCGCCTCCCGTCTCGCTCCCCTCCATTTCCCTCCCCGGCCCCGCACCCATGCCCCTCCCGTCTCGCTCCCCTCCATCTATTCCCTCCCCAAAACCCCGTCCCCACCCGTGCGCCTCTCGTCTCGCTCCCCTCCATCTTCCCTCAGCCCCGTCCCCATCCACGCGCCTTTCGTCTCGCTCCCCTCCATCTGTTCCCTCCCCAACCCCGTCCCCACTCGTGCGCCTCCCGTCTCGCTCCCTTCCTTCCCCTCCCTTCCTTCCCTTCCCTCTTCCCTTCCCAACCCCGTCCACCTTCACCTCCATCTTCCGTCCCCGACAACGTAAGCTTTTCCTCGCTCTCCCCCGGCACTAGCGACTAAACGAGAACCCAAGCATCGGAGATGCTTTTGGGAAAAACACCCAGGACTTTCAAGGTGACCTCTTTGGAGCACCAGTTTGTGGCCTTTCTTCATTGTGTGTGATATCATCCTCATTCCAGATCGCTGGGAATGATTTTAAGCAGAGAAGTTCTTCGGTGGGTCAAGTCACAAGGGGTCACAAGGGGTCGCTATTCCGAACTGACCTTTCCCTACAGGCCACTTGAGGAAAAACTATTCAAAACAGGACAAAAACACAGCTGGCTAAGAAGAAACTACTGAATGTGTGGGAGAAACTACTCCAAGTTTGCATGTATACCTTGTGTCAAGTCCTGCCAGGTGTGTACCGCGGCATCGTATGGAGCCCAAGAAAGCCGACAGAGGAGGGTGATTTGGCAGTGCAGGCGATGGTTGATCTCTCCTGATGGAAATCCATGGGCAGGGGGTCAAGAAGCAAGTCTGAGAATCCACAGATGCTGGGGTGCTAGTTCTTGAAGATTGTCCATTGATGCTGAGTGGCTTCACCTTTTCCTCACGTGAGGAGAGTCAAACGTCAAACCTCCACCTTGGAAGAAGCAAGTCCAAACAAGTGCTGACCATGGGCACTCGTACATGTTTTCTTAGGTGGAGGCCATCGCTACTAGGTTGGAGGTCATCGCTACTAGGTTGGAGGTCATCGCTGTTAGGTTGGAGGCCATCGCTCTTAGGTTGGAGGCCATCGCTCTTAGGTGGAGGCCATCGCTCTTATCAAGATTCACAGGTGCATGGCTTCTGCTTTTGGGGGCTCCTGACTTGGAGTGTTTCCGCGAACCATTTTTCGGAGTGCTTCCGACCTGGTTGCACTAGACCGTCGACATTCGGTACCCATCGGCCGTTAGGTATAGGCCATTATAATTCCTCCCCAAGAAAGCAAATGGATCCAGCAACAGTCTGCTGCCAATTCGGCACTGTCATTCTGCTCTGATCTGAGGTGCCGAAGCTTCTTCTTTATTCTCCCTACCAGGCGAAACGACGAAGGGGAACAACTGCATGAATGCGCAGGAGCTGGGTGGGTATCTGTACCGTTTGTATGGACCTTGAAAGCTTTGGACCTGAATCTGAAGATGACATTGTCATACATTATCGATTGCTTCTGAAACGCCTTAGATTGTATCGGATTTAGAGCAATGGTTCTGTGGGTTGGACGAACTGTGATGAACCTTTTCACCTATTGAACTGTTGACAATGATGTTAGATAACAGTTGACAACCCGGTTGAGCTTTCACTTTTTTTGTAAAACCTTTGCGGCACTGAACCAACGAAAACACCGATCCAATAGAAAGGAGGGGTCCCTTGGGCTGGAAGGCCGCAAAACGTGTACCGAAGACTCGAGAAAACCGAAGACTCCAAAGACCAAAGCGCGGTTGTGGAGGAATATCCAAGGGCATGAGATCTCCATGCCGAGACTCGCGGTTGTGGTTCCAATGGAACTCGTTGTGTTCCAGAACTAAGAATCACGATCACAGTAGTGAGTTCTTTTCCACACCTGCATGGTAATCATACACCTATACCTATTGCACTCAGGAAAACGGTGGAATCTTCTGTTTTTTGAAAGTGTGTTGTCCGTCAACTCTTCCTTTCAAAGTGGAAGAACCAAGCGGAGAAAAGAAAAAGACGTTTTTCCAGGCAGTCTACATGAGCGCGTACATCACCGCCCGAGACCACTTGCTCCAAGGCGGGTGGAGCACGGACGCAGAAGGCCGCCGTTTCTTCAACGACATTGACACATGGTTTTCCAGGGAATTCATCGGTTCATTTTTGAATTTGGCTGAAGGAAGTGATTTGAGCGCTCATTTGATTTTGCAGTCTGGCTGAGGGGATCGCTCTTTTCATCTCGCTTCCCCTGTTGAGGGTGGTTCGAACGACTGAGGAAGCACCTGCCTTGAGTCACACAAGTACGAAACCGCATTTGAGAAGCGTGCCAGCTCCACCGTCAGGATTTGGAATCCAACATTAGAAGTTCCGTGCCCTACCCACACAAGGTTCGAGTTGCTTTCACACAAGCGAACCGCTCACCGACTCCAAGTCGAAAGCATGACTCCAAGTCTCCAAGCCATTTTCTAACAAAAGAAAAGGTCACTAGTAGCGAACCTTGCTCCTAGTAGCGATGCCAGGAGCCCCTAGTAGCATCCTTGCTCCTAGTAGCGATGCCCTTTGTTTCTAGTAGCTTCTACCCAAAACATGACTCAAATCCACATTGATTACAAGATAGAAGACAAATACCTTCCAACCGGTGCGTCCCGGTGCCGTCGGGTCCTTCGCCAGGGCCTTTGGGTGACTCGGTGGCGACCTTCGCCGTCGCCGGCGCCGTGGCAGAGGCACGACGCAGCGGCACGACGTTTGGGGCGAGATGTGGATACTACAGAACAGGTGTTGGGATGTGTTGGATGGTAATCTATGAATACTAAGCACCTATATACGTACTATAATTAAGTATAAGTACATATACTTGCTTACACATTTGGGTTGTTTGTCGTTGTATCGGCTTTCAGCTTTGACACATGGGATAATAAGTACTGCTGCTTGACCAAGATCCCTGATGTTTTCCCGTTAGCCATACAAGAATTGTGAAGCGGAGGGTGGTGTCTTGTGAAATGGCAGTTTTAACGACCAAGGGGTATCCATCTTCTGGAGAGTTTGCTAATGGAGCTGGTGAATTGTACTGCACGAATGGTTCAGGGCAGCAGCATCGCATTGGCCCTGAGAGGATGCTTTGGATGCAATGAGCACTTGGCCAATGCCTATAATGCAGCTTCGGATGGGATTGATGCTCACAGCACGGTTGCAGCTGGCAATGCTGTTGATCGTGCTAGAGTCTAGAGCTCGACCACCATTGGCAGAGCCAGCTGTGGAAGCTGCCCTAGAGCATTTTCAGAATTTTCTGAAAGGTCGTCAGCTGGTTGATGTGTTGTTGCAAATGCGTGAGATCAATTTACCGAGGATCAGTACACTTGGCCATCCCAAAATAAAGTTTGTGCATTCCAAGTCTGGCCTTGTCAACCTTGCCTCGTCCAACATGCAGGGTCTTTGTTGAGACGCATTTGGCTTGAGGATGTCATCGAAGCTTCGGGAGCGCATGGAGAAGGGCCACAAATGCTTGGCTTCATCAATGACTCGATGGTTTTAAGGATTTTTAAGGTCTTCAAGGGGCACTGCATGAGTGTTGGGCCCCTGCAGATGCTGCACCGTAGCACTTTGTGTGTTCGACTCCGCTGTTGCAGAGGACCACCTTCACTGCCGCAGAGGAAGGACTTGTTTTTCCTTCTTTGCAGTGTCAAGACAATCCACGAGAGTGATGGGTTCTTTGAATGATTGGGTTGACTTCGAGAAAAGCAAAAGGAACGACGCATTTGCATGTGTTTCTTGAGGTGTGTTGCATTTGTCCCCTTCAGGCATAAGATTCTTATTGATTTTCCTAGCTTTTCTCACAGTAAATCCCCATCTGTGGATTCAAGGCTTGCCAGGCTTGCCCCAACAAACAAAAGCCATTTCTTTAAGAAATTGGATCGGAAACGACGCTCCCAAATAAGTGAATCCTTGAAGCCCCTCGCTTGAGCAAACGATCACATGACCCAAAAAGCAAATCAGTTTCTTGTGTTACTAGTAGCTTCTTGCTCCTAGTAGTAAGACCAGGAGCCTCTAGTAGCGTCCTTACTCCTTGTGGTAAGGCCAGGAGCCCCTAGTAGCTTCTTGTTGCTAGTGTTCTGATGAGCATTGGAGCCCTTTTTGAAAGAGCCGACCGCGCCGACGCCCAAATACGAGATGTCCAGCCACTCCACACGATCCGTCAGGTCGCTGGCTCGGCCATCCGGCTTCCAATGGAGGCGGCACTCGGTATGACGTGGTTCCAGGCTATGTGGCAGATTTGGAGCAAGAAAAACTGTGCTTTGCTGCACATCTAAACTTTTCCTCTATGTTCTGTGTGTGTGCTTACATATCGACTGAACAACAAAGCCAATTATTCCCAAAGTAAGAGCTGATCGCCGATCATGACATGAACCAAGTGCACCGAAGTCTCGGGAAAGCCTCTTGAAACGTTCGACACAGGGAGATTGGTTTCGCATGCAGATACAATGTGTTGACAGTTGTTCCAACACTGGTGGTAGCGTGGTCATGAGCATGATTGCAGTCTTCTCCCTTCACAGACCCTGACACTGGTTGCAGCATGGTTATAGCAAGTTACAACTCTGGTTGTAGCCTTGACCCTGCACGGCCTTGACCCTGCATGGATTACATCATTGTGCACATTTGCACACGCTGCGGAATTCGTACCCTTGTTTTCTGGTCAATTGAAAAATTCGGGCAGTGCCGCCCACAAGAAGTTGAAGAACTCAAGAGCTGTCAGCATGGCCGAGTGGAAACGGTTCTGTGAGCATTTTGATGCTCTAAAATCGAGCGAACAAAGAGTTTGATCGAATGAGCACGAAAATAAAATAGCAAATTACTCAGTGCCACTAATGGCGGCGTGGCCATCACCAAGGGCGGCGAAGCGACATCAAAATACATGTCGAGGCAGCGGAGGAATGACATTGAGAGTATGTTTGCAGCCGCACCACCTCTTGAGTCTATTAATGATTAATTCATATTAAATTATTGATTCAGTCGTTTGCTACAAAGGGTCAGGATGACCAGGAGATTTACGACATAAGATCATGCTCATTGACATCCACTTTGCACATTGGACCATGATTGGTTGGTGTATTTCAAGCTCCCAAATTGAGTCTGAAGACAATTTAGGTTTGGATGCCTGTGCAATTCAATGTGTGGGAGTCGTGATATAGCTAAATAAAGTGAGATTGAGATTGCAGATTTGTTTGTCGGCATTTGTTCAATGTCAATGTGTCAAAATCCTTCTCCTGCTCAGTACCTGAGAACTCGCCGAGAACTATTTCTGGGGCTGTGGTAGGCCAAATCAAATCACCCAGGACAACCAAAGTCTCACCAGTTGTGCCTTGCACCATGGAGCCACTTAGCGTGTGATTATGTTTTATTTATATCCCTCATTTTTGCAAGAGAAGTGGTGATGTGTTTCTTGCTTATTGCTTGGCCTGTGTAGGATGCCCACACGCAATGAGAAGCTTGCCAAGTTTGGGATGTAACTGACTTTGGAGTAGCTCACTTCAGAGTTTGGTTGCCCTATAACGTACCCCTTTATCCCATCAAGCACCGTATGAGAAGAAGCAACGGAATGATCATCGAACTTGATGGCCTTGTTACTTTTGAAGTACCGGACCAGACATCCAAAATAAAATATGTTGTTTTGCCATCAAAGCAGTGGTCTAAGAGGTTCTTTGTGTATATATGTGTATATATAAAATATGGTCAGTAATATGGTCGTTTCATTGTATAAAACTGAAAGTCCGCAGTTTGCATGATTTATTTCGACGGTCTCAGGCTGCAACAGTTCTTCACTTTTTCCGTCGTCAGGTGGCAAAGCTCCGGCTGCAGTTGGGCGCCTACAGCAACAGTTTCCAGGCCTTCAAGGCGAAGCAAAGAAACAGCTTTTGTTGGCTGGGCAGTGGCTGAGTAAACCGAAAGTCCGTATTTCCGTCATGGTCCCTACTAGTAGCCATATATATATAATATACACACGTTGAGTAATGATTAAATATCAACTCCATTTCACAAGACATGTGCAACAGGAATGGGCGAACACACATATCACATCATATCACAACACTTCGATGTTCCAATCTGCAGCTGGTCGTACAACATCATTTCACACTTTGCGATTTGTTCAACTTGCATCAACCTGCCACGCTGGTAGTAACAAGTGCCACGCTAGTAGTAACAAGAAGCTAGTAGCAACCTGCAGCATGTTACACACCTTCGCTCGCACGGAACTGGGTGACTGGGTGGTGTCCGGACTTGTCCAGGACATCCTGATGAATCCTTGGCGCCTGACACGTGGCTTTGTGTCGCTGAGCTCACGTTTGGCCCGTGGGTTCTTCCGTGTTTGATCCAATGAAACTCTGGTCCCCGATAGACCAAGGTGAATTACTGGTGGATGAAGCCTCAGAGAGATAGACCAAAGTTTGGTACGTATGTGCTTGGAGAGCTTCGTGGAAGGCTTGAAGGTGCCCGTGAAAAGGACTGAATGCTAGAGAAGGTAAGAACTATCCAAACCGCCCTTGCAGGTGAAAACCACCCCCAAAAGCGCCTATTCCGGAGCCATTGATTCAGAATCAGCTTCTTAATTTGAGCTGCTAGTAGACTCACTGGCACCTTCATGGTATTTACAGGGTAGGAATCCATGGCCGACATTGATGAGTGATGAGTGATGGCTACGGGCTTGCAGACTGTGCTGCTGAGCTTGGGATTCTACTGTCGAGTTTGCCCAGGTCACACCTGTAGGAGTTGCGCGTTACTGCACTTCCAATGGCCAAAGAGCTGCAATGTCTCAGCACATCTAAGTGATTATGGAGGTTGCCAGACTCAACGCCACCGTTGTTTGTGGCTCCGCTGCTGTGGAGCTTAGTGTGGGCTTTTCTCCCAGGTTGGGTGTTCATTCGATTCTGCCTGTTGAGACAAGGTAAAACAGTAGGAGAGATACAAGAGTACCATAATTTTTGATCATCAAGAAACTTGTAACATGAAGTACAGCCACATGCACTCAAGCTGACTGGAGCCATTTTCTAGACCTTTGTGGAAATGGACACACAAAACCAGGGTTTTATCAAACCCTCCGGCTTTGTGGCCTTACACCTGTTTTGGCAGGTCATTTTCTTACGCCATTTCCACCCACCATCTCTTTGCCAGCACGCAATCATCGCACTTAATCCAAAAAAGGCGATCCAAAGATCGCACATATTTGCTGCAAGGCGCACACCAGCGTAGCTGCGGCCAAGGCCACAAACCATCATGCACGATTGCTCCTACAGCGCTTGTGGATGGCTCTTTTTTGAATCTGGCAGGCACCCAAAACGTTGGGGTGGCAACGAAAAAGATCCAGGTGGAAACGAATTGATAGTTTGCACCCTGACGCAGGTTCCATGCATCCAGCAGATCTCTCTTCACTTTGTGTATGATCGGTTTAGGTTTCGTTTGATAGAAGACTGGGTCAACCGCTTGGGAGGAGCCTATTAGAGACAGGAGAAGTCACGAGCGTTAAGGATCCATGAGGATCCATGTGTGCTTTGACACACTTGGAGCTTAGGCCGGTGACGCGCAGAAGCTAGGTGCTTAGAGACTAAAGCCGTGTCTCCAATGAAAAAAGACTTTTCATATTTCATCAAACTGAAGCTCTAGAGATGAAAGTGCACAGAAAGACGCATATGATAAACTGTAAAACTAGATGTGTTGAACAGGTTCTTCATGAGCTCCCAACTCTCCCATCCGTGTTGCGCTCGTGTTGCGTTCCACCAAAGCGTTCACCGCAGGCAGTGGCTTTACTCGCTGCGAGGATCCTCCAATCTGCCAGCACGGGACCTGGACCGCCGCCGTGGCCCACTGTTTGGAGGATGCACATCGTTGGTGGCCCTTGCAGCCGTTTCAGGATGGACACATGGAGTTTCCTGGTTCAGAGTCGAAGCCATATATGACATCATGACATCCTAATTATATGATATGTGATATATATATATATATATTGTGGCGAACACGTGGCTGTGTCAAGCTTGAATCACGTAAACCCATCAGAATTTCAAGATGATTTTGCCAAGATGATGGCGGGGCCGAGATTAAACACAATTTGGATGTGGCTCCCAATTTGGATGCGGTCACCACAATCGCCATAATGTTTGGCAGAGGGACTCAGGGCGTTGGATCTTTATGTTTCCGGACAGTGTGGATGGTACCGTTTTGTGCCAAGGGCCATTTGTTCATTTATGGGCATGATGGCCTCTAGGTGAAGAAGATAGACGACCACAATGCGTTATTCTTTAGCATGTTCAGCACGATGTTATGTCCTTGTGCTGATGAGTGTGGGTTAGATAGGTAAACCTCGAGGCAGACGAGGATCAGCAGCGCGGTCCCAGCTTCAACGACCGGATCACCTGGTTTCGTTGAAACGGGAGCCCTTCGGTCATCGATGGCTGGTGATGTGTCCTTTCATTTCGAGACACACAAAAGAATGGGGCGTTCAAGCAAAGCCGCTTAGACCCTCTCATTCTCGACATGAAGTCGCTTAATGTGTGACCTAGTTTAGACAATTGAATGAATAAGATACCAGTACCTCCTCTACTTACAGGCAAATCACGCTTGATTTTGGTGCCCCTGGCTTTGCTTGCTTTGCTTGCGAAATCTCTGGATGGGAAGGTCTATGAGAACCTCTTGTTGGGTTTTGCAGCTGGCACATTGACTTCCTTGGCATTTTGGTGACCAAATTTGAGCGCTTCGGGTCGGCGCGTCCGGCGTGTCGCGTTCTGGTTCTGCGGGAGTTGTTCTTCTTGAAAACTCCAGCTGGCTGGTCGTGTTTTTTTATTTTTTGGGGAGGGTGGAATGCAGCATTGCATTAACAATCATAAACACCTTTTTGTTAAATGATTGTTTGTTTAAGATTGATGGGATTCATGGGTGTTGGATGAGAGCTTTCCTCTTCGGTGGCGCCTTTGAGAGCCTCAAAAGGAAGTGTGTTCTACTGAGGGCGTCCGAGGCTGACGATTTACTGTCACACGTTGCATCAGACCTGGCAGACGGATCTGGTTGTGTGTTACGTCGACGATGAACTCCACCGGGGGACCCGCAACAGCACGAGCATGGTCTTGTTCCAATGAGAATAGCTTCTAGCTACTAGTAGCAAGAATGTTCCTAGTAGTACGGCCAGGAGCCCCTAGTAGCGTCCTTGCTCCTAGTAGCGATGCCCTTTGCTCCTAGTAGCTTCTAGCTACCAGTGCTAACACAGTGACCCAAGACTCCAAGATCAAGTAGTTCCGCTTCGAATTCCATGTCGACGAACTATAACCGAAGACGCAACAGGGAGAAACAGCTCAATGATTCATGAAAAGGTCCAATGCTAAAGATTCCTGAACTGTCAGGGATTCCGACTTCTTGGTCATTAACCAGTCTCACCCACCAAACTCCTAATTATGCGTTAATTCTACTTCTACTATGCCAAACTCCCACCTCATCCTATCGATCTTCCTCTCGCGCCACGAAAAAGCCACTGTCATTTGAGGTCACGAACCCCTTCGACGTGATCAAGACCAGCAGGGCATCTGAGAAACTCAGACTGCTAGGAAGGACTGGTGATGAAAGGTTGTCTCCAAGAAGGTGAGGCCTCAACCAGAAACATGGGAAACATGTGCCTTCCTGGAAAGTAGGCTGCTTCAGAAGTTTGTATCCCAAGGAGTGAGTTGGATGTGGTTCTATCAGAAAAGGATGGTGCGAGACTCCCGCAAGTAAGGGGCATAGAGAGGATGAAAATTGAACAAGTTGGTTGATGCTCTTGTCGTTCTCAATAATCCCGTCCCCCTAATAATAAACACGGGCCCCCCCCCCCCCCTATTAAAAAAACCTCGGTCGCATTTTTTTTAATAGGGGGTCCCTGAAATCGGGGGGTCCAAAATAGGGTCACCTGGGAAGAGCTTCAAAACCAAAAAGTAAATCCGTAAAGTTTTATATAAAATCCTTTATTAAACTCGTATCAAAAATGCAAAAAAGCTCCAGATCGAAGGGTCTTCCTTTTCCCCTACAAAAACCTTCATTAGAATAGTTATTCTTCGGTAGACTAACAGCTAAAGCTTTCGAAAGGTGATGTCGCTGTGCCATGCGGTGTTGCATGACCTCGGTGGCAAGTGCGTTTGCGTGAGTCCGTGCCATTGGGGGAAGGAAAGCCTGCTGGTGTAAGCGCGGCGTGTCATGGTGGATAGACAGGGCGGACAGAGGTGGGCAGTTACGGTTGTTTTTGGGGAACCTAATTAAAAAAACTACCCCCAAAATCGTCCATGTTGGTAGTTTAGTAGCGGCTTGAAAGGGCGGCAATTTAACACCAAATATAAACCAAATTTAGGGGTTCGGACGTGGGGTTTTTTAATTGGGGAGTGTTTATTAATAGGTACTCGGGATTAATGTTAAGATTGGTATTTCTATTGGCGTCTCCGTTGCTGTTTTCTCGGTATATAGTTTGGTTGAGGTTGTGGGGATCGATCATGTCACTTTATACATTGAAGGCCCTTGAAGCCTTGAAACATTGTGTTTTGCTGATTTGGACCTGATGACGATCCTGGACGTGGACATTGCTTCACACAGTAGGTTTCCCAGCGTCGACCTTGTTCTAAGGTGGCAACTTGCCACCACGAGTTACGGCAGCTCCCTCACTGGACAAAACATCCATATCCTTTCTATCCTTTCTTGGGGGAACTCGCACATTTGTCTGTCAGTCATTTCAGCATCTTCCAAAGTACATTGGTCTGTTAACTGTGCTTTTTGGTAATCCAAACAGGTCCTGTGAACCCATATCCATATTGCCGCTTGGGATTTTCGTGGCCACAAAACGGTGGGAGCCCTTTTGTTGTGTACTCATGTGTACTGTGTACTCCCCGTTTTGTGCCAGCCAGGGATCATCGGTTCTTCATCGGAGACTCCACCAGGCTCGTTGAGACGCTGCGCCAGGGTCATACGATTGGAAGGCGTTTTGGTTCGGCTTTGGAGCTTCTTTGGTTGACCAGCGTTTCGCAGTTGACGAGCGCACGTTCTCCTTTTGTTTCAAGACCCATGGAGAGTCGAAACTGTTCTGTCGGACATGTTTTGATACTTTAATTGGCTTTAGTCTCAATGCAATAGATCTTGCCAGTCGAGAAGATAAAGCAACAGTCAAAAGATTTTGCCGCCAACACTGGGTTTATCACTATGGTTGTAGAAAACCAAGAATTGAACAGGCCTCAGGTATCCTCAGATGATATTAGGTGAACAGTGAAAACAGATGCTTGAAGGGTATAATCCTCAGAGGTTGTACCTATATAGAGAATTGTGATTGTTTAGAAGTCCAAGTATAGAACTTTTACACCTGGAATCTATAGTGATGGACAGTCACTTAGAACCATGGCGGACACAAAGAGAGGTTCTAGGCAGTTGTTCGTCACTGTACTGCCATAGGTGGTAATTCTTTGGACACAAAAGATCTAGTTCGTGGGGTAGTTGCTGGCTCCCACACTAAAGAGACTACTCGAGGCGTTGCATATATATATAGGTTATCTCATCGGTTTGAGGCACCCATCCTGAAGAAAGGGCTCGTCTTCATTGCAATGCTTTCAGGATCAAGGTGTGTAGGGAACGTTTTCTGCATCCCATGTTGGACATCGATACGTTTCCCTATTTTCCAGTCTATCCCACTTTGCAAACGTTCAACAATTTGGTTTGACCCTTGGTTTGTATGTAGGATAATTGAGGCAAGTGCCTTTTAATAGTCTTCTATGAGAGTTGCTAAGTAGTGGGTAGGTAGGTAGGTAGGTAGGTAGGTAGGTAGGTAGGTAGGTGAGCCATCAAGTAGAAGGTCACGGCTTCTGACCTTTCTGATTGGAACTTGAAATCATCCACGGCAGCCGTTGGTTCGTAAAGATTAAGGGAGTCTTTTCTCTTTAAAGTCTGGACACATGTTGTTTTTTTTCATTTCCACTGACCGGGGTCAGAGAAGACCATGAATCAACGAGTTCTCGCCTATAGGTTTTTTCGTGATTGTTTCTTTTGTTTCTCTGGATTGATGCAGAACTGACGTAGAGTTGTGTTCCCATCTTTAGAGCTCGATTGAGGAGCCTGTCAGGTTCCTGGAGAAAAGGTTTTAACCCATGAACTGAAACAATCCATGAGTTCCAACGGGATGGTTTCTTGCAGAGCAGTGGCTCACTTGGATCCCTTCAGATCCACTGCAAAACCACGAAGAAGGGACCGTGTGCCAGTGGCCAGGCATTCTCAGCACGGCGAAGAGTATTTGGCGAGCCTCGGCAAAGACATCTCCGGGGTCATTAAGAGAGCTTGCAAGCCACACTCATGACCTAGGTTTTAGTCAATTCAGGAGGAGACAAGAATTGCAACCCTGATGGCAGGTATCCAGTTGGTACAAATCATGTGGATTCTTTGAGCTGCCTGAGAACTACATTTCTTTGGCGGACTTGGTGTCCGGAAGACTTCGGAGAAGTATGATTCTCAAAGATATCCCCATTGACAATTCCCTGCTATATGAACCTTCTGCGAGAGGAATTATGTGCTGAGGATACAATGCATCCCACAAATTTGACAAGGGCACTTGTGGAGACATTGGTCCATGAAAAGTGCTGGACGGTAAGAACAGGTGAGAAGTGGTTTGTTGGTCACGGACCCACCTTTGGTTACACCTTGTTTGCTCAACCCTTATGTGTTACCTTGTTTTGATGACAGGCGTATTATTGAAGATTGAGCTTTTCTTGGACTCCAACGTTGATTCCATAAATTGCAAGAACTTGATGCTGTTGTGCATTGGGACCACTGTGAAACTCGATCCAGATTGACATACAAACAGAGCTGAGGTTTTGAGGGGCTTGGGGCCTTTTGGCAAGGTGCCTCGTTGCGTCTTGGCCAGTATAGGGTCACTGTGAGCCATAGATCGTTGTCAAAGAAAGGTAAAGCACTCAGGGAATCCTTAGACACTGCCACTGCAGCTAAGAAATTGGCTGCCAACACATCAAACAAAAGCTAAGACTGACAAGCATGGCCTCATACGAGAAAAGGCCAAACGCAGAGGCCATCATCAGCCATCCCTGAGGCAGGAAATGCTATGTTGTGCTCATAAAGAACCGCTAGGAGAGACTCTACAAGCCACGGAGTTGTAGAGCAGAAGGCTTCGATTTCCACCAATGAGCAGATATCATGGCTCGGAGCATGACAACGCGAGCATCGGCACCAGGCTGGAAGCGGCCAATAAAGCCAGCTTGGGATGAAGTCTATGGGCTGAACTTCTCGGAATGGGCTGAACAATGCTGAACAGCTGAGTCCGGTCCAACCGGAGTCGAAGAGCCCAGCCACGGAGCCGAACAGCCCAGGCGAGAACACCGAGTTCGGGCGCAAGCCACGTCTGGAAAGCAGGTGGAATAAACCCACACAGAAGTTGAACATGTTTTATACAACTGTTGGCACCTCATATTCCATGAGTCAATTCTTTGCAGCTATTCTGACAGGAAAGGTATTGACAGGTGCGGCGTTTTGGCCGTTCACACTGCGCACGCACTGCAGATACTTTGGAGAACGCTCGGCTCAGAGAAGAGAACCGCAAACTGAGAGAGGCGGGTACGAACTTCCAGGAATCCCCCTCCCTCAAACTGCGCCGACACGACAGAAAGAGACAACTTGTACTGTAAACAGAAAGTAAAACTGAGCAAGCACGGCTTTGCAATTTGGCTGAGTGCTATCGCATTTTATCCCAGTGACTTCTTCCAACTGCGCAGATTTCGTGGGTGGATGAATTGAACTGTTTGGGGTCTCTTGCCGGGAGAATGTGTGTTTGAGAAGGGGCACCTAACCAAGTTTGCTGTGTTGATTAAGGATCACTTGTGCCTGGGCCCTCTTGAACGAATCCTACGAGCCACAACCATCAAGAGACAGTTGCATGTAGATAAGTCATGTGTCGCAGCACTGTGTTGCATATACCATACTTATACACAATCTTACATATTATAGTTTTAGGGTAATGACTTTGGGTTTGAGCTTCTGAGATGAATCTCGTTTGTTGGTGTGAACAGCCCCAGAGCCTTGGGGCTGAAGGAGGAACAAGATCATATGAAAGATCCACAAGCCTATTTGATGAGAAATGGGTGCCAGCCATCCGCCGAGGCGTGTCCTACATTTGGCGCCCAGCCATGGATTGTGCGCTGGACAAGAACTATCTTGAAGGGATAGATGGGGCCTCCACTGACAGGGTTGCGGTGGAAGTCATCGGAACAAGAACAGCAACAGGGACCAGGTGTTTGCAGCTAGCTCACTGGTGAACCGTTTGACCTTTGGGGAGTTTTTCCAGGAAAACTCAGGGAGGGGAAATGGACACACAGTGTGGAGTGTCTCAGACGGTGTTCGTGACTCGGACAAGTATGAGTTCGTTTGAAGTTTCTGATAGTTTGTGTAAGATTAGCAGGTTACTGTACAAGACCTTGTTGTTGCTACCACACAACCATCTCCTCAGAGGATGTAGGGAGTTAACCTCCAGTACCCCCACCTGGTAATAGCCCCTGGGGACAGTGTTTTGCATGCTAAGGCCTGCTTCCAGCAGTTCAACCTAGCTGGATGTTTGGTTGACTTGTCCTCCAGAATACTCCAAAACCACCTAGCCGAAACTGTAAAGAAACTGGGGAATCGGAATGGATTCTAATTTAAGACCAACCTTCGATGGTTGGTGCACCTCGTAGGATTGGCTTTTCTCCTGTTTGGAGCCCTATGTTGTCCTCTTGTACTATTTGTGGACGTTGTTTCTGTGTCCTGCTTTGAACATGTTTGAACCAGTCACATTCAGAAATGTACTTTGTATACTAGTATACCCTGTCAAAACTCTCAATCTTGAGGCAAAGCCTCAGCCCTTCCCAGTCTTGGAGGTGTATTGTTTCTTGAAAGCGAGCGAGAATCGATGATTTGGGGGGAAAACACCGCTGAAATCGATGGTTTTTTTCAGACTTTCCGACTCATCCGGTGGCACATCGACTAAGCTTCGATCGAGAATGCCTGAACGACCAGGGATTTACATGGGCTGTTGTGCTGTTCGTTGCATCCTAGGAGCATGATTGTTTGGATCAGGGCCCCAAACCACGGGCTTCGACCCACACCTGGCCTGTGGAATCCCACGGGTCCCATTGGCATGACGCAACGGTTGGCCCGGTTGGTGTGATGTTCAAATCGAACAATTCAAGGTACATGCTCCTGTACGAAGTCATCAAGCTTCAAATAGCAGCTTTCGGTGCAGATGAGGACCGCAAAAAGATGCAACGATGAGAAGAGAAGCAGGGAGCTGATAAGGGAAACCGCACCGAAAGAATTTGACTAGAGCATTCACCGTTTTTTTTTGGGGGGGGAAGGTAGATTGTTAGCATAAAGGTTCCAAAGGTAGTTCATGCGGCGGGCTGATTCTGTGGGTTTGATGATCGATAGCTCTGGGCTTGAGTACGCCTGAATTTGTTATTTGAGCTTGCAGACTTGGCCTATGACCCGGCGATACTGCAAGCAGATTGCAATTTGCTTGAAACGGTAGGCAGCACTGGGAAATCAATCCATGTTTATATATTGTGTTGATTTTTGATGATTGTTGTATTGTTATTCTGTAATTGGTTCATCAGGTAGCAGTGAATGCTTTGTGAGTCGCATTCCAACAATGGGCTTCTCGTTGATTTAAAAGTCAACATGCAACGTATATGTGTAGATGAGTCGCTCAGGCCGACGCTTATCATGTTTGGCCCCCCAGGCCATCAAACACTCGCTGAACCCTTGTTCACCGGCCTGCGCAAGAAACTGGAATCTCGATCTCCAATGGAGTGTCAAGAAATTCTATATGCAGGCAGAGTTGTTCTACAACAAGATTAACGAGCAGTAAGAACCCACCAATCTCTCGATCAAATGGTTTGCCCTAGAATGGGAATGTGTGACGGTACTTGTGGATGAGTCCGGAGATCAATGATGGTGTTCTGATGTGTTGCGTAATGTTGTGTAATGTTGTGCCCTGTCTCAGATCATGGTTTTGCCCTGACATTTGACAGGTTGGTCATGGGTTATTATGCGTCATTTCACTATAGACTAACCTCTAGGGCACACAACACGCGGAAGGGCTAGGAGGTGGGGGGAAGAAGGGTGCCCGAGGTGGTTGTGGTGGATGAAGTCCTTCAGAATCTTGATGTTTCTTAGCTTGGTGGTTAGCTTGGTGGTTGACACCTTGAAGGTGTTCCAACCTCTCAGAAGGGTAGATTGATGCGGTGTTCAGCGAGGTGCAATTATTTTCATCAAAATGCCACCAGGTTGCAGGAATCAGTGTTGCTGTTTTGGAGGGTTTGGAGATGCCGCCGGCTTTGCCATACTTCGATTTGCTGAAGGGTTCAAGAACCCACAACAAGCGACATGAAGTTGAGCAATGCAGAGCACTGCCCGAAGTGGGAGCCAAGTAGCACTGAGAATTCATGAGAGTTGTTAATTTTGATGTGTGTGAGAAACGAGATTTCTACAACATTCAGCATTGTTAGGTTTTGCTGCACATTCCATTGTCCTTTTTGATTACAACTCCTATTGAAAATAATGTTCCTTGCTGGAGTCTAGAATTATGTCACCTCTATGACAGATCCACTTCAAAGCTCATAGGATCACAGCAGTTGTTGTTCATCAAAGTAGGAAGGAAAGAAAGACAGGCTAGAATTGGCTAGAAGCAATAGAAAGGGTTTCAACAGCAACAACAACAACAACAACAAAGCAATAAAACACAACAACACCAGCCTCACAACCTAGCCTCAGCTCAGCATGAAGCGATGGCATCAATCACGCTCGAAGAGGCAGGTGGATGTGCTTCGATCCCTTCTCCCGCTGGGGTCATTGAGGTTTAGTAGCTTCTTGTTACTAGTAGTACGGCCGGGAGCCCCTAGTAGCGTCCTTGCTCCTAGTAGCGATGCCCTTTGCTCCTAGTAGCGTCTGGGAGCACAAACCCAGGTGTTGTTTTGGAACACCGAGCAGGCTCCATCCTCGGGCGTCTCCAGACGAAAAATGCGCGGTCCTCCCGGCGTCCCCAGAACCGGGTGGGCATCTCTTCTTGCAAAAGCAACAGGTTCTGCTCCGCTGTTCCGATTCCGGTTGTAGGTCGAGCTGAAAATAGTTCCGGTTGTGCGCAAAGAAACTGAAATAAAGTTCCACTCTGAAATGAAGTGCGACAAGACGTGGAATCCATGAAAGTCACCCATGATATGTAGAGTCTTTGTTTAGCCTCAGCCTCTTATCCAAGATTTAATCGACCTAAACGATGTGGGTGCGACACCGCATGTGCTGGGTGGACTCAAAACAAATTCCAAACATATGGTTGCAAACTATGATCATTCTAGATGTCTCCCAAAGACTTACTCCGCGCTGCACTGTACGGGAGGAATTCTCGAAAAAAAAAACAGTTCTTTGGATCAGCCTGGATCTTGGATCTTCCTTGAGCCAGTAGAGTCAAGTGAGCCATTCGATAAACCTCCGTGTTCATGTTTAATCAGTGTGTTGTCATATCGAAGAAGTGCGTAAGCAAAACCTGCACGCGCGTAAGGTTGCGTAAGCTTTTTGTAAGGAAACCTTTTGCGTAAGCCATGCGTAAGCTTTGAATAAATAAGGAACAGTCCAACTCCACACACATACATACACAATCCAAACTCGAATTGCTGAACACACACAGTCCAAACACCACAGCTGAACTGTAAGGCAGCGTAAGCACAAGCGTAAGCCCAATGATACGACATGGGATTTCATCAAGGTTTTCAGAAACGCTCAAGTGGTTGATACATTTGGTCTTCAGCGAAGGGTTTTGCTCTTTGTCTCCCTTCCCTCTCGCGCGGCAGGCCAAGCGGACAGGTGCCGAGGCCGGACTTCAAGAGGTGATCGACTTTAAAGCTGAAAGCCAGAGTAGCTTCTTGTTACTAGTAGTAACAAGTGCCTCGCTAGTAGTAACAAGTGCCTCGCGATGCACTTGTTACTAGTAGCTTCTTGTTACTAGTAGTAATGCCCTTATATAGCTACTATATAGTAGTTTCTTGTTACATTTTCTTCGGAGAACGGGACCAAACATGTCAAGAACGAGCTCACAGAATGAGAGCACCAAGAAGTCGACAGTCTGGTAGCTTCTTGTCGTCGACATGTGTTGACGTCGTGGTGTTGGGTTCGAACAATCGGAAGGCCCACCGAGTGTTGGACGCTTTTGAGCCATACACCCCTGTAAGCCACCAGAAAGGGCCTGACGTGAATGGAGATCTATTTGGTGGTAGGGATCGGTGTGAGAAAGTGTTTTGATAATTCCTAGCTAGTTCTGCAAAAGGCATGCCACTACAGGGATTTATCTAACCTGGACTCCCCCATGGTACAATAAAAAGTTGGACCACATGGTGTTTTGCTACATTTTTTTTGGTAACCACACGTTTAATATATTGAAAGCCATGCTAAAATGATCCTTGATATATTCTTCACTATGTTTCCTTTTAGGTATGCTTAACTATGCTGTTGATCTTGATATATGCTAGAATGATCCTTTGGGGTGCAAGTCATTGAACACGGTTCTGATGGAAAAACAATTTCAGCATAAATCAGGAAAGAATTATCGGATTGGAATACTAGCCCTGTAGATCTCAGATACATGCAAGAATCATCAAACACAATGTGTAGTTTGGGGGTTTTGTAGCCACAACTACATCCTTCCACCTGAGCTGGCTTAGTACCCCAACCTTTATCTCCTCCACACCTTTATCTCCTGGCAGACGCATGGGAGCCGAGACGCTGTTCGATGTTCCATCCTGGCACTTGTTCCTAGTAGCGTCCTTGTTACTACTAGTAAGGCACCTGTTACTACTAGCGTGGCACTTGTTCCTAGTAGCGATGCACTTGTTCCTAGTAGCGGAAATGTGTGGTTTGGTTTTTCTCCAAATGACATGCACTGAGTCACCCAGGTTTGTGAAGATTCAAATGCCTCAGTGGGTTTATAGGGCCTTGACTTATGTGACTTGGGGCATCTTGAAAGGATCTGACAGTTTGAGCTGATTTTTACACGCATGTACCACCCCAAGTTCCTTCTCACACGCCCACTCTTGAACTTGAAAGCATGTGTATATGTGTCATGTCATCCAGTTCTCCCTGGTGTTCATTTGCTTGGCTGCGGAGAACTCCCACTTCCAGCCCCATGAAGCCTTGGAAGTTCAATGTGGTTTGTGTCTTTGGGCACTTGCGAAAGCGCAATTTCATCGGGGACACTCAACTAAGGGATACATACTCTAAAGATAGCAGAGAGACCATCTCTTCCAGGCGAGAACATGGTAGAACCTGCATGAAAGGCCATCGCTATTAGAAACAAAGGAAAAAAGAAAAGAAAGGTGTCCATGGACGTGGATCACGTGTGCCTAGCAGTCTGCTCCATCGGTTATCGCTGAACACCATGGGTTATCGCTGATCATTTCTTGTGTTCAGCCTTTTCTACCTATCAATGGAGTTGCCATCCACTGTTAAAGGCTTTAAACAGCTTTGAACGCTCAGCAGACATGGAAAATGAACAAAACATTCAAAACTGTGGTCACCCTACTAGTCCCCAAAAATGTTCAATGACCAAAAACCCTTGTCCCCCATTTTGTTGGCGCTGCACGGCTTCACGCGGGCCATTCGGCGGTTTGCAGGTGGGATCATCCCACGTTCACCGATGCCATGGGCCTCGGACAGGGCATCGACCGAGCCACGGGTCGGGTGGGTGCATGTGGCACTGGGCCGACATGAAGAGAATGTTGAATGGCACTGGTTCGCATGGCGTTCGCATGGTTTTGGGGTAGCTTGAGAATTCTGTTCAGTTCCTACTGCCCACTTGGTGGTTCAGCTGCAGGCCAACGGTTTGGGGAATTGATGTCCTGACCGAACGTGAGCAGGTGGAAAGAGACATCCTAGACTGTCGAGGGAAATTGCCTGATTCAGGCGTCAGAAGGAGCCTCTCAGATCTATTCAACAACTTTCCAGAAAGCTTCACCACTACATACTATGGAAGATGCGACAATTACGACGACAATTAGTGATGAAACCACTTGCATGGGCTTCCCCAAGTCATTGAGAGGTTATGTACCCCAGTTGCTTTGATGTTTGTCTACCCCTTAAACAGGGCGAACAAATAAGTTGCAACAACCAAATCTTCCCCAAAAAGTGTTCAAGTCTTTGATGCCTACACGCAACCTTATCTCCCTTATCTCCAAGTAGACGCCGACCTTGCGTCAGATACATACCCAGAGGGAACATATAGACTTTACATGACTTTACATAGAAGCTGGACAAAAGACCTTTCAAGACAATATGTGTTTCTTCTCCGCAAAGGGGCTTGCGG